ACAATCGATGGAGATGCCACTCACCCCGCTTGGTGCACCCCGCAAAAAAAAAAAAAAAAAAAAAAAAAAAACGTACCAACAATGCCACACCTTTTCGCGTGGTGAAAAAATCAAATGAGAGGAGAGTAAATGAAATTCCCGCTTGGCACTTATCTCAGCACAACACCATCGTCATCCCTTTCACTTAATGAGCAAGCCGTAGGAGCGGTCCATGCGCACTTGTTCCGTGTGTCCCCCTTTTTACCCAGGTGTCAGCCTGGAGAAGCGTCCCAATTGGGCATACTTTTAATTGGGCACTGCAGTTGGTATTTTCCCCTTAACAATTTTCAATTGTTCCATTTTATTATTATTTATTTATTGTCGCACTCCGGACCTTTGGTGCCTTTTGCCCCAAACGGGTACCATATGAATATTTTCCCCGGCGTCGGCGCGCCAAGGAAGGAGAAAAAAAAAAAAAAAAAAAAAAAAAGCCTCCCCGACCCATAATTCGTACAGGCGTCACGCAGACGTTTCTCATAGGGCAACAGTGCCGCCCACATCAAAATAAAAACAGCAGTTTTCATTTTTGCACTACTTTTCCACGAGATGGGTATATTGCAAAATGCGCCACATTTATATACAGAGCAGAGCAGTCGCAAGGAGATTAAGCGCCTTTTTTTAACAGCCCTCATGTAAAAACGGGAAAAAAAAAAAAAAAAAAAAAAAAACTGTGCGTCCTCCCCTCATTGAAACAAATAACGTGAAACTGCAAGGGGTAAAAATAATATAAAGCAAAGGAAATCCTTGTAACAGATACGAGGTGGGAAAAGAAGTAAAAGTTCCCATTCTGTGGCAATTTTGTAAAATATATATTTTAAGAAGCCTTAACGCGTGTTTTTAACTCTTTTGAGCAGTATCGCAATCATTTTGCCTAGGCACGTTCGCAAATTTTGTTCAGAATTTTTTGACCCATTTTTTTGACCGCTTTTTGCGCGCGGAATTTTTGTCCAACAGCACTGAAAGAAGCGAAGAGGGTTTTAACCTTCTTGGGATGTTCCACAACGAGGCATCATTTTTGCTAAGACATATGTGCACATACGTATACGAGTTCGTAAATGCCTTTGCTTGAAAAGTTTTTTCTCTGCCCCCCTCTGAAGTGCATACACGAAGAATATCCTTCAATCACCATCCCCCCTCTGTAAAAAAAAATGGCACAAAATAAAGGATCCAACCAACTCATTCAGCAGCTGCTGAAGGCGGAAGAAGAAGCAGATCTAGTGATTAAAAAAGCAAAAGATGGTAAAAAAAAAAAAAAAAAAAAAAACAGACCCCCAGTACATGGCGCCAAATGCTCAATCTGAAAAGTCTGAGTGGGCACACAAAAAGAAATGAAATGTTGAGAAATGCTCGATTGAGAAATTTTTTTTTTGTGGAAACACAACGGTTATTTTATATATGTGTCACTTGTTATGCATTTAAACGTGCCCACTTTTTTTTTTTTTCACGTCCACCCCCCCCCCCTCAGTGCGCGCCAAGATGCTCAAAGAGGCCGAGACGACAGCTACAGAAGAGTTGAAGATTTTCCGGGCCAAGGAAAAGGAGCGTCTGAACAAGGGCCACAAGGAGGTAAAATTATATGCGCGGCATGTACGCCCGTATGGAGCATACATGGAATACCACAACGTCCCCCTATATATGTAGTAGCCGATGTAACATTCCTCTCACCACCCGTTTGCATCACCATCTCTACTTCTTTTCCACCCCCAGAAAACCACCGCTGAAGACGAAGCCGTAACCCTAATTGAACAAAACACAAAAGAAGAAATAAAAAAATACAAGGAACTCTTTAAAAAGAACAAGGATCAAGTAGCTCAGTTTGTCTTCGATAAAGTATTCAACGTAGATTTGACAATTCCAGACTGCACCCAGAAGGCGCTTTAACGTGTAACCAACCCTGACCCCTTAATTGCCCCCCACGTATGATATACGTCCATTGCAGAGGGAAGCTGCTGTTATAATAGGACAGAAGGACCCATGTGACGGGGGTGAACCAACCCAGCACACGTCCCCCATGTATATACGTATGTATGTACGGGGTAAGTGTTCCCCGCGAGCATATTGTTCTGAATTGGGAAGACCAACGGAAAAGGGCCCGCTGGAGGGGAGAACAGGAGGATACTCTCTTCGCCCACTTCCTATGAAGCGTCACCCGAGAAAAGAAACTACGCAACGTTAATTACAAACGTATAGTGTGTCACGGGGAAAGTAGAAGAAGATAGACCATTGTGACTTTTCGCTCATCTGGACATCCCAAGTGACGGTGTGGAGGCAAACATGGTGTGTAGCCCATAAATCGTGACAACGGGGGTAAAGCAGCGCTTTTGCGCTTCGTTCAAACCGAATCCTCCTCCACCTTTTTTTGTTATCCCCTTTTTTTTTTTTTTTACGAATGTTCATTTTTTTTCCTTTTTTTGTCATCACCCCACTGATGTTATGCCTTTTTCCTGGGTGGAAACAAGAAAAAAAAAAAAAAAAAAAAAAAAAAAATTGTTTATTCCCGAGAAGGCACAAATGGGTAATAATTAGTCAACCAGTTCCGTACACTTTGTAAAACATTTTTAACTCTCCAGAGGTGGGTGATCCCTACGTACAAATTATATACTTCCCTTATTATTACACGCTACTCCTCCTATGTGTGGGGAAAGCAACAGTGTTATTCTTTTACATAATAAACACCCTTCGCGGGCCTAAGCCAAACCAGACGCATGGAGAGGTAAGCGGTCATTGTATGCGAAAAAAAAAAAAAGAAACGCGCCCATGCGGGCTTAACAAATGGGCAACCACAACAACAATGTTCTTAAAAAATGAAGAGAAATATTTCGTTCATGAAAATTTGTACAAATTAGCATAATGAAAAATTCTGCTTCATTTTTTTTTTTTTTTTTTTTTCCGTACAAATGGGGGGGTTAGCCAAAAAAATGCACAAAAAATCTGCAGCACTATGAAGTGGGGGGGAAATTCACTACCCAATTCCCATTGCGAGGCAGGGCCTCGGTTCCGGCCGCTGAAAAGGAAGCGTGGCGTTTAACTCCTCCGTCTTGCTATTTTTTCTATGCAGAGGTTGGGCAGCGGAAAAGCCAATAAAGGCGAGACGATCCTGCGCCTTTTTTCCCCTTGCGCAGTAAACCAAATTGTTCATACGGTGCATATGTAGTAGTATATTTTTATACCACCCCCACCAAAGTATAATAATACATGAGCTGGCTACTCCCCAGTGAAGCAGTGCTTTTAAAAATTGCATGGGGTTAAGTTCAGCGGGCCCCTACTGCCCGCCCTTCGCAGCGCAAATTGTGAGAGGCACAACGAGCAACCCTGTTCTCCCGTGCCTCATTATGCACAAGGGGGAAAAGGAAAACATTGTCGCCTCACCCACAACTCATATACCAATATCCATATCCGCTACTTCCCGCATGTACATATATATGGAGGATCTAGGGTGCCTTTTTGTTTTTTGTGCCTCCCTGATGTAGCTATATTATGTATGTACCGCAACCCTATACATGACGCCAAAAAGTGCTCTCGTTTTTCGCGCCGTGCAAGCAATGTAAAAAAAGAAAAATTATATTCACAAAGGGAGGAAAGGCGTATGATGTGCTCACTGTTTTTTTATAGCAAAAGGAATGCGGCAAAAATTGCCACTTAAATAGAAGCGACAATTTTGGGGCAACAAAAAAAAAAATCCGCAGTTGAAAAAAAAATTAACAGCAGGAAAAGAAAGTTGTTACCCAATTGCATTTCCAAACCGTATGCAAAAAAAAAGGAACGCGAAAAGGAAAGCGAAAAAAGAAAACGAAAAGGGAAACTAAACGGAAAAAGAGCCCTGAACGACGTGTTATGCTGAAACTCTGCTAACAACGTACGGGAGATATTCTGCCGATACTGTACTGCTACTCTTGTGGAACCCTCCTTTTTTTTTTTTTTTTCAATTTTTTTTTTTATACATTTTTTCAAAATGAAAACCATCGTGTCATCGCAGAAGGTCATCATTCCCGAAGGAGGTAAGAAAAAGAACCAGTTGAACAGAATAATGAGCGATTGGAGAGGGGTGGGGCCAGCACTTGCGCGTTCTCGTGGCAGAGGTGACAATACCCATCATGGTGAACACGCGGGTCATGACAAGAGAGTAAACTGTCATGGTGGAGGAGAAAAGTTACGGGGGGAGGGGAATAAAATAAGAACAGGCAAGAATAGTTGAGGGAGAAAAAGCCTGCCGCTCCCCCATTCCAGTGTTATGATGCCGCTATGAGGCCGCTAACATGGCCGCTAACGTGGCCGCTAAAACGTCGCCAATCGCGCTAATGTTACCCCCCCTTGTTTTTTTTTTGCGCAGTGGAAGTGGCCATAAACTCGAGGAAGGTAACTGTGACGGGAAAGTACGGAACGCTGAAGAGGTCCTTCCGACATCTGCCCATTGATGTGCGTCTGAATAAGATGAAGAAGTATATTAAGGTGGTGATGTGGTTCGGAGTCCCCGACAGACTGGCATGCATTCGAACAGTATGTACCCATTTGAAAAATATGTTCACAGGAGTCACAAAAAAATTCCTTTACAAAATGAGACTGGTACATGCTCACTTTCCCATCAACTCAAACATAGTGGATAACAACAAGTCCATTGAAATTAGAAACTACTTAGGAGAAAAACGGGTTCGATTTGTGAAGGCTCTACCTGGGGTCATTATTGAAAAATCCCCAAATGTCAAGGATGAAATTTATGTCAGTGGTGCTGATATTGAAAATGTGTCCCTCACGGCAGCTTTAATTCACCAATCCGTTCTGTGTAGAAATAAAGATATTAGAAAATTTCTCGACGGAATTTATGTGTCTGAAGTTACTACTGTTGAGAAGGATGAGTAGATGATGATAAGAAAGAGAGGGTGTGTGTTGTTTTATGTGTAATGGTGTTATGTGGGGGGGGGGGATGGAGTGTAAACCCACCCCCCCTTTACAAGCGTGCAATAATGTACATATACATACATATATATATAGAAGTCATCCTTACTGCGGCAACGATTTGTTTTAAGACCAGTGCCTTCGCCGCGACTACGACGTCCACTGCGTGTACATGTGGGTCATGACCGTTGTGTTCGGCCCATGCGTTTAACCCTTCGTGCACGTGCTACCTTTTTTTTTTTTTTAACACTGCCCCTTAATTAAACCGTATGTAGAACTCCAATTTTTTATTTTAAAAAATGTTCATCTAAAGTAGTATATATTGCGGTGGGTGCCAAAAGGATGACAAACTGGTACGACCGTTGAAAATGCCCAATGGTAGGTTTGCGAACAAGTGCTGAGTCGTAACCACGGGCAAAAGGGGTTCCTTTTTGGCAGTCAACTCCAAGGGAGTGTTTTAACAGCGATGCTTCTCTTCTGTGGGGTAACTACCTACTTATAAGAAGCATTTTTTGTTTTTACCACCAATTGCGCACACCAAATACAATATCATGTGGGTACTCAAAGAAAAAACAGCGTCACGGGGGTGAGGGGGAAAGGACGAGAAGAACAATTGCTCCACGTTCTGCAACCCTAACGCATGCATTTTTCTTTTTGCATGCAACTACCCCCAGTTGTGAAACACTGACACGCATTCCCATTTTCCCTCCGAACCACCGTCGTCCTTATTTGCACGCAAGGTGTAAATTTTGCCCAACGGAGGAACACGCCGTTCCGATTGTGGAAAATGACACACAACAGGTTGCAGCACACACGACTATCCGATGAAGGAACAACCGAGTGGCTGAATAACGGCTCACTGTTCACCACTCATCGTGCACATCGCCCCCTACATTTGCGCAAAAAAACATTAAAACATAAGGCGGATTGAAAAGGGAAAGACTGCTCCCCGCACGCCGAACGACATCATGAAGTGCGCGTACTTCCCACACCTCCTGTGCCTCCTGGGTCTCCTAGCCCCCTCTACAACCGTTGCATTAAGAACATCATGCCCTGACGTGGGAAAGCACAAGGGGTACCAGTTTTTAACCCCCCGAGTGGAGAGTCCCCCAAAAAAAAGAACAAGCGAGAAAAAATATAACCAAAGAATTGGGGAAAATCTGAATGAAAAGCTATTTGCAGCGGAAGAAAACAAAAATAAAGAAGTCGATGGGAAACACATCTCGTGTGTCATGTCATACGATACTGGAGACACCATCAACATTGAGGAAATAAAAAAGATACTTCCACATAGGTATCCATTCCTCTTGGTTGACAAAGTAATCCATGTAGAAAGGAATAAAAAAATAATTGGCATCAAACAAGTTTCCGCTAATGAAGAATTTTTCAATGGCCATTTCCCTGCCAAGGCTATTATGCCTGGCGTTTTACAAATAGAAGCTTTAGCCCAGTTGGGGGGGATACTATGCCTTACAAATGAGGAAAATCGTGGGAGGGACAATTTATTTTTATTCGCTGGGGTGGACGGCGTTCGCTGGAAGAAGCCAGTCCTTCCAGGTTAAATCAACTCTACGAGCACACGTATATAAGCGTGTGTGTGTGTGTGTGTGTGTAACTCCTGTCTGCATCGCAGTTTTGGAATAATTGCGTGTTAAGAAAAAAAAAAAAAAAAAGTAGTGATAAGTGATAAGTGCACATCCGGTTTTGTTGCAACTTTGAGGGCGCGCCAATCAGCAATATTCTTTTATTTGTCAGACGTTGCGATGATGAAACGTTCTTGCTTGTGTGTCCCCGCGCAGCAAAAACGCAGCTGCGATATTTACATGTACACCGCGCCATTTTTTCTCTTCTGAACTGTTCAGGAGACACGCTCGTAATGGAAGTGGAGCAAATTTCCTTCAAGCCCACCCTTGGGATCGCCAAACTGCGCGGGTGCGCCTATGTAGGCGGCCATGTCATTCTGAAGGTTGCCGAAATGACCTTCGCAT